TATTATCAGTAATATTATCAGTATTATTAGCAGTATTATTAGTAATAATAATTGTTCCCACCACGCAGACTGGGCGAACTGCTGTGCGGCCGTCACGGCGTCGTCGGGGTTGGACACCACCATCGGGACCTTGTTGCAGCCCGGCTGCTTCAGGACTCGCTCCAGCTGCCGGACGGTTCGGTCCACGGTGCCGCGGGAGCACAGGTCCACTTTACTGACCACGATGAAGATGGGAACTTTCAGCGCCATGGCCAGGCCCAGGTGCTCCCGGGTCGTACCGGCTGGACGGGGGAGAATACAACACTTCATTACCCAGAAACCACCTGGTGCCAGGACAGAATCATTCCCTCTATTGATCTTTTATTGATCTTTGTTATATTATTAACTTAACTGTTTTAAGACCATAAACTTGTTTTTATTCATTTATTACCTGTTTCATGATCATACCTCAAACTATTATTGAGTTGTATCAGCAGTTTGTAACAATATTTTTAATAATATAATGAATTAAATGAATGTGACATGGATAAGTGTGTATTATATCACTTTGTGTCACTAATGGCAGATTAAATCATTCTAAAAATAACTGTTATAATATCCACGTCTTTAAGGTTGGACGATAGAATATCATCAATATCTGTTTCACCACCCTGTGCTCTGAACACTGATCACTTCTGCCCCCTGCTGGACACTTTGAGGTGTTGTTTGTAATTTCTCATTGAGGACAACTGATCCTAAACAAATCTTTTTCCAGGACATTTTCCAGGACATTTTCCAGGACGTCACTTGCTCACTCGTATAATAACTTTATAAAAACGTTTAAATTTAGTCTAATCTAAATAATTCCTCTTTTCACCTATTAGCCTGTTTTAAGAAGAAGAAAGTCTTTGCTGTGCGTATAATTACCCTCACTGTGCATTATTAACCACAACAAGCGCGGTTTATCCAACAGTCGAGTTTCAAACTAAATACGCAGACGACCCGAGAGAGTGAGGAGCTAAAATTCAATCAAAATTTTCCAGGATATTTTGTCACTCTAATACATTTCCAGATCTTTCCGTTAATGGAAAACTAGTCTCTAAATTTCCAGGTTTTCCAGAAGCGTGGGAACCAGGTTTACTTCCTGTTTCCAGAAGGTGACCCTGACTGAATGCTCGTATGTCAGATGCGTTCAGGACGGGACTCTTGTGAAACGTTTGAAGTTTGGGGCCGAATGGACAAAGTACACTGAAATTACAACTTCCTGTTTCTTGAAACATCAAAATTCAATGCCACGCCACGCCACGCCACGCCACGAACACGCCACGGACACGCCAGCGACAAAAACCCACAAGCTTCACAATAGACGTGATACTTTCTCTGATCAGAGAAGGAGGACTACATAAAAGTATGACGCTACAACAACTTCCCGTTTCTTGTCAAAAGAAATGCGACGACACGCCGCGGACACGCCCTTTCAGCAGAACTCACAAATAGCTCAGCTGTTCATTGTTATGGTCTTCAGATCGCACTGAAGTCAATCTGATCGATTCTTTAAATGGAGTTTGTTCACCACACATTACTACTAAATTCAAAATCGGCAACTTCCTGTTGACTTTTTAGTGCGTCTGGACGTGTCAACCCGTTTTCGTGTTGCGAGCCCTGATAACGATATTGATACTTCCTGTCAGCGACGTGCGGCTGCAGCTCACCGATGCCGGTGTTGGCGCTCACCACCAGCATGGCGAAGTCGGGGCAGTAGCTGGTGAGGCCGAAGATGGTCGTCTTCAGGTACTTGTGGTGTCCGGCCAGATCGATGAAGGTGATCATCTTGGAGGAGCTCTCACAGATCTCCTCGGCGGTCCGAGACTCGCTGTAGTTCACGACCTGCGGCGAGACGCAAAGACAGATTGTTACCGGATACCGCTAACGATACCAATATCAGCATCTAAAACATTTATTGATCAGATTGGTTTTCACGTTTATTTTACAGATTCTTTCTGTATTTTATAAAAAGACGGAAAAATATCCTGTAATTTA